GTTCAATCCGACGTTTCATGTCGCACGGCCGTGCGAGGTTATGTCGTATCGGTTGATGCATGCACTTTCTCTCTCTTGGTGCGTGGGTGAACTGTGGACTCAAGCGAGCGAGTAGATCCAGCGGTGGATCTAGATCCTTTTCAGGCGTTTTTCTGTCCCAAAAGCTTTCTCGGTAAAGATCGTGAGCTACAACATGATACAGCAGTTGACGTCAGCAAACAGGGAACGGAATCCCCCCGCACTGCACGAGCACTCTTTGTCTAGGCTATCCGTTAAACTAGATCCTGTAGTCTAGTCTAGAATACGAAGGAAACAAAAATAATATGTGCGGTTCATTCATTGCCATGCACTCTGTGCATTCAATCCATTGCTGTCGACGTCGAAGCAACAACAGATCTACTACACTAAAAATTTACGAGCGTACAACAACAGACTTGTGTGCAGAGTACATGATTTTTCGATTCCGCCCACGAACACTTCCAGAAGTGCAGAGAGACAGAGAGGGAGGCAGAGAGAGTTCAGTTCTACCGTTACTGTACAAGGCATGCTCTACGCACAAGATGGAAACCCTTCGGCACTTTCACGGAGCCCCTATTGATACTGTTGTCGCGAAACAGAACCACGTACACATAGTCTTCAACACATCCCCTTCGAGTGTAGTTATTCCTCGAACGGGTTGTCTTTCTGTGTGTATATTTGTTTCTCCTGCACGTATACTTGTTTTTCCTAAATACTGCTGTAAAAAGCCCCCCTCGAACGACTATGATTTTCGCTCGAACAGGGAGCTTTTATGTGTTTAACGGGTAGTCTTTCTGTGTGCATATTTGTTTTTCCTAATATATGTATTTTTCTAAATTAAACCAGCAACTACTGTCAACATGACATATTGCGCCGTGTTCCCTGTGCAGGCCACATGTAAATGTACCTACGCAGATGTTTTTGTGCTAAGCACCAACTGGTATCACTGATATAAATCATCAGTGTATAGGCTTAAACAAACTCGAAATAAGTCAAGTACCCAGCTGGTTTTCCTCTACTCACTGTAAAGACTTCAACACATCCCCTTCGAGTGTAGTTATACCTCGAACGGGTAGTCTTTCTGTGTGTATATTTGTTTCTCCTAATAGTCTAATGAAGCTACAGCAGTTAGTTGTTGGCGCCCGCAGTTAAGAAATACTATATTGTTAAGAAATTGAGGCTCACTTTTTCACGAAAAATAAGAAAAACGGGTTAAGAAACATAGCTCAATCTGGGTCACACAATAAGATATGTCTCAATAAGAAAGGAAGGGAGCGGGAGGCGCAAACGGGTGACAACCCCCAATGTTCGCCTTACGGAGCTTGCAACATAATGACGGGGTAGTTTTCGTTGTTGGTACTACAGCGTGCGGGTGAGGCATCATGCGGTGTTTATGCATTTGTTTAGTTTCAGCCCTCAAACATGAGGGGGGTACAGGACCTTGTAGCGATAGCGAGACGTTGCCGCTGGATACATTTCGCTTCTAGGGAGTGGCCTTACGTGCAGCCGTCGGTAGTGAGAATCGGGGTTGAGTATGGGGTCGAGGAAAGCAGTGCAAATCATTTGTATATTTGGAACGTTGTGTAGTATGCAAGCAGAGAAATAAGAAATTGCCGATTTAAGAAATTCAGCAGGATTTGGCTGCACGAAAAAATAAGAAACTGAACGACATACGCTGAGTTTATAGCCCACAACAAGAATTCGAGGCTGGACCTGAAATAAGCGTTTCTTAACTGCGGGCGCCAACTGTACCGAAGTCGTCCGGACCCAGCTCATCAAGAGTCTGAAGCCTTCTAATGCAAGAGTCTGAAACCTCTTCATGGAATCCCCATCAGATACACACGCGGAATGGACGTGCAGTACACGGAGGACGATTACGTCGAACAAGCCATCAAGCACGAACAACATAATAATAATTATCGTGGGGAACGGGATAGGGAGCCCCCACCCAACGTAGATTTTGCTGCCAACATGATATTTGTGGAGTAGGTCCTGACGGTATCGGGAGCTCACATGGAACGTCACATGGGACTGCTCTCGCGGACGGCTCGTGGGGCGATCCTTGGGGCGTCCCACGCATCCCAGTAGCCGGACACACCGACGGGTAGATATATGCGACGCTTGCGCTACCGATCTGTTTTACACACGGCGACGCATGGCAATTCACATGTTACTTTGTTTCATGAGCATCCCCACGCGTGCTCCATGGACCGTCGAACGCGTCCCATGGGAAGATAAAGACGTTCCATGGAAGGCGTGGGACAGCGCCTAGGATGCCTTGGGATTAGGGTTATTCACTGTGCTCACTTGCAGCAGACTTAATCACATGGTAGTACACAGAAACTCCAAACCGCTACACAACGTGTGCGAGGAATGAAGGAGCAACGGTGACGAAGGCCTGGCCATCCACAAGATCTCTTCCACAATGATTCTTACTCAACTCCAAACAACGATATGGCATGATAGCCAGCAGCTACATCCGACCTCCATGCGGGTGAATATAAACTAGATAACTAGACTACATATTTCACATACGTTAGGCAGACAATACAGCACGACATTGCCAAACTCAATTGTCGCCATATGCTGTTATTGTCGTCGTGGCTCTCGTGTTCACATTCATCAGTTGTTACAGCGGTTCCTGACACCCCTACCGGTCCAAACGACGCGGATGCTCTATTCCGCAGTTACAGTCCACCTACCCCAAACAAGGTACAAACGTGAAGAAAAACACAAAAAAGCGACATCAGAGCACACAACAAACCGATAAACGGTAAAGAGGCTCCAGCCAGACAACAGTCATCACTGATGACATATCGGGAAAGGGTTCGCATACACGAGCCAAAAGAAACACATCTCTCCCTCGCGGCACGCGGCCCCGCTCCAGCGAGACAACGGTCATCACTGATGACACATCGGGAAAGGGTTCGCATACACGAACCAAAGAAAGAGAGCACATCTGTCCATCGCGGCACGCGGTCCCACACAAAAAAAATCTTCATGCTCGGGATTAATACCCCAGTGCTACATTTCGGACCCGTCTTGTCTAGGAGAAAATGGCGTACTACGGTATCATACTATCTCCTTGCACTATACACAAATGACAATCTGTGAATGTCGTACAAAGATATGTACTCCGGTATACTGTAGGATGCGCAGTTTTGACTCTAAATCCAGTTCATCAGTCAACACCAACGGCCTCATCTCCAGGAGAAAACATGCCAGAGATCCAGTGAACCCAAGAAGTCAGCAAACAAATCAGTGTTGTGCGATCAGCTTTTGGTCTACGGGTGCAAGATTAGTGCCTGCTCGCCCCCCCCCAAGGTGATGCGATACGTTGCATGGCCCGCCGGAAACTACATCTTCCCCACTTCAACCAATCAATATGCTGCCTAATGGGAATAGAGATGAGCAACCACACACCAAGCCTCATGTACCCCCCATTCCAAATCATCGCCGCCGCCCACACTCGAGAAGGCACCGCAGAGTGCTGTCGGACACCACTATTTGTAAGCTGTAGCACTGGCATACACTTTCAACGACCCGTAGTTCGCACTAGCAGTGAAATCCAGACCATTCTTAGCTGATGGTCGAAACCAGCAACGATCATGGCTGGCTGACCCCTGCACGACACGTTCGGCTACCAACTAGCAAGGCGGGTTCACTCAAGACCTGACGCATCACGCAGAGCTGGTGAAATGTTGCGTCTGGCAACAGTGGATATTGTTGTGCTTGAACGCTACGCCCAGTCCGCCACCCACAACAGCAAGAACCGCCGCTGATATCGCGGCAATTGCCCCACCCGATAGGTCATCGCTACCACTATCATCTTCGTCACCGGCCGCCTCAATAGTCGCGTCGCTAGTGACAGGTTCACCGGTGCCAATTCCGGCAGTCGGGGCATTGGGGTCGGTGGAGCTGCCTGATGGTTCTGGGATCGAAGTTTCGAGGACGAGTTTTCACAACAAGAGGGTGGGTCCGACAACGAACGATTGGATTCGACATAGTACCTGGTTGTGCTGACGCACCCTTCAATTAATTGGCTACAGACTTGGGTTGCATGGCCTACATATCATGCCCAGCTGTATATGCAAGATAAGGCGGTGTAGGCGTAGCTTAGAAGAATTACAACAAGACTTAGAAATTGAACGCGTTAGAAATCCTTCACAAAACAGAAGACAACGAAACAACGTTAAGTGGATTTTGATGAATGGTAATAACCTTATAACCTTTGGGTCTCGGTTCTCTCCCCCCCCCCCCCCCCCCCCCCCCCCCCCCCCCCCCCCCCCCCCCC